TCACAAGGCAACTGGACTTTCTTGTTTTTCTTGAAGACATTTCACCTCATCCAAGAAGCTTCTTCAGCTCTGACTGGATGGCGGGGAATGACAGGATTTATGCTCCTTGCAGACAGCTGTTCATTTGCATTCTTTTAGAGCAGACATGTCAAACATAAGGTCCGGGGGGGGGGGGCGGATGCGGCCCGCGAAATGGTTTCATGTGGCCCGCGAAGCCATCCTGGAAACAGTGAGGGAATGGCCCCCGCTGCCTTGGCCCTGCCCCAGGCCAGCCGGGAGCCAATGTACAATTTTGTGGTGGCCATCTATGCTGAAACGCATTCAGTCTTAGCTCCACAAGACCATCTGGAAACAGCGAGGAACCAGCCCCTGCCGCATCAGCCCCACCCCCTGGGTGCATGCTGGGGAGGTGTCACCCTTTGTGAGGAATGAAGAAATGCACCATCTCCTGGAAGTGGCCAGCAAACGGCCCTCGCCTACTTCACATATCCGGCTTGATGGGCTCCGGGGGAGGGGTTTCGGCAGGCAGTGGGGGGCTCTCCTCACAGCACTGAGAGGCTAAGCCGGGCAGCGCAAATCCCAAAAGAAGCATGAGAATGCCCAGCCCCCAGCTTGCCTGGTTTCGGCAGGCAGTAGGGCGGCCTCCTCACAGCACCAAGAGCTGACCAGGGTGGTGCAAAACTGATAAGAAGTGCAATGCTGCCTAGCCCCCAGCCTGCCCAGTTTCAGCAGGCAGCAAGGTGCAAAGCTGGTGAGCTTCGCACTGCCCAGCTCAACCTCTCGGTGCTGTGAGGAGAGCGCCCTGCTGCCTGCTAAAACCCCTCCCCCGGAGCCCATCAAGCCAGATATGTGAAGTAGGCAAGGGCCATTTGCTGGCCATTTCCAGGCGATGGTGCATTTCTTCATTCCTCACAAAGGGTGACACCCCCCCAGTTGCATTTCTTGCCTGTTTTTCTCCTTCCCTCATCTCAAATATATTCCCACCACTCTGTACGTAGGAAGGAAGAAAGGAAGGAGAGGGAGGGCCTGAAGGAAGTTCTGCCTTAGTCCTGCCCTGCTGCCCTTTTACCATCCCCTTGCCCCCTCCTCCTGGCCTATCCTGGGGGTCTCCCATCCTATTACTAAGGAAGCTTTGGATACAAAGCCAGGTCTCCTCCCAAGGACAGGGAATGGGCCTCCCTCTGACTTTGCCCTCGAACCCATCATGAGCAACCTGGCTAAGGAGAGCAAGCACAGCAGCAGCAGCCTTGAGGAGGAGGTAAGTGCAGCTGGGCACCTTCTTGGGGAAGTGGGGCTGGGCTTGATGCCACGGGTGCTCAAGGTCCAGGCTGGGCATTTGACCTCTGCTGCCCAGGGCTCCGGGCAGCCCGCACCACCATCCAGCCCTCCCCCCACGTGGCCTGAGAGGAACAGTGAGGCTCCTCCAATGGACCATGCCTTGGAACTTGCCCTGGTCCCACCCCCTTCTGCCAGAGACTCTTAGATCTGTCCCACTCCTGCCCAGGCCCCCACAGGCACCCTTAATGCGAACGATGTAGAGCTGGCCATGCTCACCCAATAGGCCACACCCACTCCATCCACGCCCACCCAGTAGGCTGCACCCACCCTGGCCATACTCACCCGGCCCCCGAGGGCAACCGCAGTGCTGATGCGGCCCTCAATGAAATTGAGTTTCACTGTTTTAGAGTCTTTGAAACTCCTGGAGGCTTATCTGTGTCATGCAAATGGGTGTGGCTTTTCCAATATTCCTGCAACATATTCTCACCACCCACTGGAGCACAAAATGGGCATTATCAGAACCCTTCACCATCGAGCTGAAGGCCTGCCTATCAGCAAAAACGGAAAAGAAAAAGAACTAAGACACACCAAGGAAGCCCTCAGAACTTGTGGCTATCCCAAATGGGCCTTCATCAAACCCCAAAAAAGACCCAGCAGGAGCTCCTCCCTAACAGACAAAAAAAGAAAACAATAAACAAAGCAACGTAGTCATTCCATACATTTCAGGAATATCGGAAAAACTCAGGAGGATCTTCAGCCAACACAACATAGGTGCACACTTCAAACCCAAGAATCCACTAAGGCAGAAGCTTGTCCACCCCAAGGATAAAAACGCCAGACACAAACTGAGCAATGTGGTACATGCAGTACAATGCAGTGAGCCATGTGCAGTTCTGTACATTGAGGAAACAAAACAACCACTTCATAAATGCATGGCACAACGTGGGAGAACAAACCCATCAGGATAAGATTCAGCAGTCCACCTGCATTTAAAAGACAAAGGTCACTCTTTTGAAGACAGCAAAGTCTACATTTTGGACAGAGAGGACCGCTGGTTTGAAAGAAGGGTCAAAGAGGCCATCTATGTCAAAACTGAACAGCCCTCTCTCAACGGAGGGGGGGGGGAATACAACATCATCTATCTTCAGTCTACAACAGAGTCCTTTCAACAGTTCCAAGAAGGCTCCACACCCATTGGCACTACTCAGGTGACCCTGAGGACACAGATAGGCCTCCGGGGGCTTCAACGCTAAAAGAATGCAAATGATCAGCTGTCTGCAGGAGTATAAATCCTGCCATTCCACACCATCCAGTTGGAGCTGAAGAAGCTTCTTGGATGAGAAGTCCAAGTGCCTTGTGAAAAAAACACCTTTGGGAAAATCTCAGGAGTTTGTCCTAGGCTACAGTACTAGAAGGGAAGAATACATGCGCCATCTACTGTCCACAATGTTAAATGCACCCATGCTTTTTGGAAGAGTATTAACATTGGGAAAGCCAAGGGAAATCATCAAAACTATTAAAAAACAAAAATTAGAATATTTCGGACATGTGATGCGACACCCAGAAAAATACGGCATACTCCATTTAATCCTCCAGGGAAAGTTTGAAGGCAAACGAAGTCCAGGCAAAAGAAGAACATCGTGGCTTCAAAATCTAAGGGATTGGTTTAGACAAAACTCAGCAGCACTTTTTCGTGCGGCTGCTGATAAAAACAGGATCGCCAACATGATTGCCAACATCCAATAACGGATATGGCACAACAAGAAGAATTAACATTTTTTGAATATTGAAAAAACGTGTAGTATCACACTTTTTTCACTAAAAAAAAGAACCCTCACATTAACTGCAGTATGATATATTCTGACTTTATGCTGATATCTTCCTAGAAATGTATCCATACCTACATATTGCAATAAACCACATTATAACCATGGTTTAGTAATAAAACCAGACCTGTCCATGTGCACCCATCATGTTAAGCCATGAATAGTGGTTTTACATACCAACAACCTTCTGACAAAATAATATCAGTCCAAGATGTGAACCCCCGCTTTGTATAAAATATTTCATCATCTCTCCAAATATGGATAAATAGTATACAGAAAAAACAAGCTCTTAAGGGTGCTTCTCATCCCATGGAAATCAAAAAGTTATCTCATTCAAGGGTACTCAGTGCTTTAATACAGGTCATCAGACCTTTAACAGAGTTATCTAGATTAATGGCAATCCAGATACCATGTTACATATTACAATCTTTCAATTAGAACAGACATGTCAAACACAAGGCCTGGGGGCCAGATGCGGCCCACAAAGTGGTTTCATGTGGCCCGTGAAGCCATTCTGGAAACAGTGAGGGAACAGCCCCTGCTGCCTTGGCCCTGGCCCAGGCCGGCCGAGAGCCAATGTACAATTTTGTGGTGGCCATCTATGCTGAAACGCATTCAGTCTTAGCTCCACAAAGCCATCTAGAAACAGCGAGGAATCAGCCTCTGCTGCGTCAGCCCCGCCCCTCTGGGTGCATGCTGGGGAGGTGTCACCCTTTGTGAGGAATGAAGAAATGGACCATGCCTTGGCGCTTGCCCCGGTCCCACTCCCACTGCCCATGCTCCCACAGGCACCCTTGACGCGAACGATGTAGAGCTGGCCATGCCCACTCAGTAGGCCACACCCACTCCATTCACACCGACCCAGTAGGCCGTGCCCACCCTGGCCACATACCCCCCCCCGAGGGCAACCGCAATGCTAATGAGGCCCTCAATGAAATTGAGTTTGACATCCCTAAATTAGAATATTCTACTGTGTGACATGATCATGTATCTCTAAGCTGCCTTGATAGGATATATAATTGGCTAAAGATGCTTTCTTTAATGTTATTTCTGATCATCATATACACAAGGTGTTTCACTGAGGGGAGCAACTTCTATCAAATTAGGAGATTGGCTGATTAAATTATACAATCTACCTTTCCGAAAAACTAGTGCCCAACAAGAATGTCAACACATTAAAAGGCAAATGAATCTGATAGAAGAGGATATTGGTAGCTCATGGTTAAACTGTGGGTTCCTTGGTGCTCTCTGAGCTTGGTGGCTTTTCTGTAGACACTTCATTACCAAACTAGCACTGATGCCATTATCTAGTTTGGTAATGAAACGTCTGCAAGAAAACCACCAAGCTCGGAAAGTGCTAAGGAGTCTACAAATGAATCTGTCAATAACCAGTAATAACAGAGCTGAAAAAATGTCCAAGCAAGTGAAATGTATCCAGTTAATGTTTTGTATTCCAAGAGAAATAAAACGTTGGTCACATCCCATTGTCAAGATTCAAAGGCAGCCCTCCCGGGAAAAAGCCTTAACACACCATCTGCAATGAATGGCAGGGAATACCATTCCAAATGATTATATAACTGGAAGAGTTAAAAAGGAACTCAGTTGATCCAAATAAATGATATAGAGCAGTGGTTCTCAACCTTTTTAATGCCGCGACCCCCAACCAGTCGTAAATCGAGGACTACTCAACCGGTCGTAAGTCGAGGACTACTCAACTGGTGCAGCACCGTTTGCAGAATGGGACTTTTGGCGGGCTCAGCAGGGCAGAGACAGCCTGGACAATTCCACCGTTTGAAAGCCAATAGAATTGGACTCTATTCAAGACAGTCTATTCTATTGGCTTTCAAAAACCAATAGAATAAAAGGGAGTAGCACAGCTAAGGAAAAGGGGAAAAAAATGGTGGACTGCGTTGTTTGGCGACCCCCATGAAATGGTCGTTCGACCCCAAATGGGGTCCCGACCCACAGGTTGAGAACCACTGATATAGAGAGTCCATGAAAATCTTTTTCTGAGGAAGCAATGGGGAGCCGGAAGGTTCCCCTGTGAGGTGAGCAGCTCCATTTTGGCTTTTGCCTTTGTTCACATCAGAGCTCCTCTGGCCAAAAGCTAAGTCAGAAAAGAAGCCCCAACCCACTGATATCTGGCTTGGAGATCACACAATTATACAAAAAGACAAAGACTTTGAGTCCCTTGGGTCATTGTTTCAAAGAAATTTGCTTACCAGATTCTCCAATGTCTTCAATAAGAACATTTAACATACCGCCTTCACTGGAAAAGTTGGGATATCTTCAGAGACGCACCTGCCTTGAAAATAACCCCATGTTGAACAGTATAGCACAGTCAAACATCGGCACAGGAAATGTTTTTATGTTATAAACTATTTTGCAATAATGTTTATGCCATAAATTGTTTGTAAAATTTGCCAAATCCAATTCCATAAGAGTCATGGCTCCCAGATTTTGGGTGCATTCTGTAAGTTGGTCCATTTGAGGTACCTTGGTTCAAAAAGTGTTGCCCTGGAATGCACCATTTTGCCTAGTTAAAGATTTTACAGGAATGAGAGCTTTAGCAGTGTGTGTATGGGTATGTGTGTGTGTGTTGATAGATGATAGCTAGATAGCTAGATGAGAGAGAGAGAGAGAGAGAGAGAGAGAGAGAGAGAGAGAGAGAGAGAGAGAGAGAGAGAGAGAGAGAGAGAGAGAGAGAGATTACATCTTTCATTTTCAAAAAAAAAAAGAGACACTTATCTCCCTTGGATATCATTACTAATGCCATTCAGTATGTATTTCATTAAATTAGTTTGTAACCACATGAGGGCAGCATAGCCCAGATGTGCAGAAACAAAAGCAGGTTGAACATCATCTTGGTTTAATAGCGCATATGTGCATTACAAAGGAAAACTGAGAATGCTCCCTGCTCATCACCCGCCATCCTTTTGTTCTGCCCTCCTCTTTCTGCCTTCCCCCAGAGAATTTTCCTGCTTCTACCTCTTAGCTTGTTCTATCTTAACCAAATTAATCAAGCAGTTCAAAGCTCTTGGGGCAGAGAATGGAAAGGGTGCTGAATTTTCATGCGTGCTCGCCTGAAAGCCCTGGGAGCTGCGCCATGGCAAAATAGAACTGTGTGGATGAGTTTGGTTTCCCTCTCAAGGTTGGAAATGCCAGGTGCGAATCCACATTTCTGCCAAGTTAAATAGGGAAGGGATTCTTTTCCACTCAGAGCGTCCCACTTATGCAGGGAAGAGGTTGAAAGCAACAGCATTTCAAGAAGGCACCCCTTTAATTCTCTCTGCCAGATAAAAGAGGAAAAATATTCTGGGCACAGATCTTCCTCACTTTCCCCCCTCGACATGTGCCAGAGTCTGGATGCCACGCAGTTAAAATACTTTCCATATTTCAAACCATCTATTCCCCAATGAAAATAAGTCCACAGATCCTGCTGGTAACTCATGTATGCTCTCTTTGTCTGTACAGAGAGCCAGGCAAAATTTCCCTTTTAAAGATCCATGGATTTATATATTTTTTTTACATCACAACATACCCTGAACTCCATTTATCACTTCTTCAATGGAGGGATTCTTGCTCAGTGGCAAACCCCACCCCTCCTTTTGCTCTGATCAGATGTACACTAAATACCCATTTAGTGAAGGATATGGGGGGAACAATCTGTTCCTCCACCCCCCGATAAATTAAAGCGGACCTTGGATCTATCTGTTCCCAGCTTCCCTTTACTCTAGGAGAGTAGCTACAAGAAGGAGTACAGAAGATCTTGGTTCTATCTTTCATACAGTGGACCTGGAAGTTCACTGAAGCACAATGGTGGTTAGTTTAAACAAGCCATCTTCAGTAACAATTACAAGTAGTCCTTGGCTTGTGGCCATGACTGGGACCAAAATTTCTGTTGTTAAGCAAGATGGTTGTTAAGTGAGTTGCACCCCACTTTGTGACTTTTTTTTGACGTGGTTACTAAGTAAATCACTGCATCTGTTCAATGAATCATGCAGCTGTTAAATGAATCCAGCTTCCTCCATTGACTTCGCTTGTCAGAAGCCAGCTGGGAAGGTCACCAATGGCAACCACACAACCCTGGGATGCTGCAACAGTTGTAAATACATGCCAGTTTGCAAGCACCCAGATTTTGATCACATGACCTTGGGGATGCCACGACTATCTTAAGTGTGAGGACCAGTTGTAAGTCACTTTTTTCAGTGCTCTTCTAACTGTGCATGGTCGCTAAAGGAATAGTTGTAAGTTGAAGACTACCTGTATTGAAGGTCTCATCTTGTGGCGTTTGACCCGGGTGACAGAGTGTCGGTCTTTTCAGCCTCCATTTCTGACATCTCCAATTTAGAGGGAGGGCTCTGAAATACAAGGGGGGGGAGATGGTTTGAAACAGGCTTGCTTGTTTATTTTTTATTCATTCCTTCCTTCATTGGATTTTGTTGGGTCTCCCATCTTAAGCAATTCTGATCAGCTTACAACAACCATAAAATAAGTCAATAAAACAGTCTCAAAAACAATAAACAAAAACTAAGTGTAATTCTCCACTTAGGAAGCCACCCAGCAGGCTCTGCTGCCCTTCTTCTGCCTGTTCTTCCCATACAATCCCAGCACTTCAGTAACAATTCAGGTTTTAATGGTTATTCAAAATGCTAGAAAGATGGGGGCCTGTATAGACTGGATTTGGCCTTATTATCTTCTTGTTTGAAAGTGTTAAAGATATTGTTGCAGGATGATGGCAACAATCAGCTGCCCGTTAACTCGCCGAGGTCCCACATGGCCGGATGCATCCCAGCACCCATGCGCTCCCTGGCCTCTGTGTGCGGGAGCCGATGGTGTCAGGCAGCAGCCACCCCGGCCCCTGCCTCACCTTGCCCTGTGACAATGGCACCCCCACCCTGTCCTGCCTCGCCGTGCCTCACCTCACCCCACAGGACGAGCCTCTTGCCCACTGCCCCACCTGCCAGAGACCCCCTGAATCTCCCCCAACCATGCCCGGCCCCCACATGCGTCCCCACGAGCAACATCGAAGTGATCTTGCCCACCTTGGCCATACCCACCCAGTCTGCCATGACCACCACAGCCACGCCCACCCGGCACCCGGCGATAAATAAGTGGGTTTTGGGTTGCAGTTTGGGCACTCAGTCTCTAAAAGGTTCGCCATCACTGTACTACTCCATATGTTTTGGGATTGCACCCAAGACACCAAGTACTACCAATGATATCTTTGCTTACTTTTGCCAATCCTCTTCTATTTGCAGGTCTTTATATTTTGTGTCCCCCCCATTCCTTCTCTTATATTCAGTTATCTCCAGGCATTATGAAATATCCATTATCCAGACTTTTTTGTCTTTCTTATTAATACTTGTTAAGTCTGGTGTTTTATGTGGCAGGTGCTTGTCTGTTTGAATTCTAAAGTCCCAGAATACTGCAGACAAATGACATTTCTTGCAAATATTCCAATGCGCCATTGTTGCTACAGTACTTAGTCAGGCCATTGTTTATAATCAGTCTGTGTCATCTTTTCTTGTAGCAGCTAACTAGGTGGTCCACTCTTTCTTCAGCTTCTTTGCAGAAGCAATATCTGCTGTCTTCTCAATTCTGGCTTTTGGCCTTTGTTCTTAAGGTTCTGTCTTGTGCAGCCAGAATTAGCCTCTCAGTCCCTTTTTTTAATTTTCTTGCTCTCAGCCATTACCAGGCCTTGTTAACTGCTTTGCCTGGTGGTTGTTGTTTTTTTTTTAATTTACTTGGACATGTAATACTGTGCTTTGCCATGTCTCTTTTCTAATCTTCATTTGGTCTCTCTTGTAGGCCAGTTTGGCTTCTCCAGTACTCAGTAAGCCTTCATGACATACTACCTTCAGTGCATTTTCTTCACTGTCCTTCAGATATTCTTCCAATGCCCTTGCTTCTTCTTCAACTGTCTGGTGTATTTGCAACATTCCTGCTTTCCTGGTCAGCAGAGTCTCCCAACATTGCTGTGTGGATTGTCATTATTTTTCTGATCTTCCTACTTCGGACTGATGTGTTGTCATGTGACTGTGGCGGGGAGTGGCTGTTGAAACTTTGGAACCAGGGTGTAAGTAACTTCAAACAGTTGTTAAGCAGCTGGCCATAAACCGAGGTCTATTAAAAGTAATACGGAAGTCAATGAACAATCTGAAACTTTATGAAGGAGTCAAAGAGCAGAAGACAATCCTAGGGTAAACTTATAAATAGACTGACTGATATAAACATATTCAGTTTATATTTCATACGTGCATGCACAGGTTCTTATGCATACATGGATTATCCAAAGTGCTGATTTAAATTTGCATCTCTACACCTTAAGAGGTCACCTCTTCAACCCATGCTTGCAATTCACCATGCCGGTCCATGAATTTGGGGAGTTGCAAAGCCAGTGTGCTTGAAGAGGGCCTGGGTGGAAGAGCTTGTTCTAGATCAGGGGTAGGCAACCTTGGCTCTTTTATGGCTGGCTCAGGAATTCTGGGAGTTGAAGTCCACGAGTCATAAAAGAGCCAAGGTTGCCTACCCCTGTTCTAGATTAATTCCATACCCAGCAAACCATTTTAATAATCTGCCACCTGGAATAAGGCTGCATGACTGGGTCACCTTTCAGCCAGCACCTCATTCAATTCAAGCCACGTCTTGCCCCTCCCCTTCTGCGATTACAACTGGATATTTTCCGATCTGATGCTTATACTCAAGTTTTCCCTTAGATCAGTGTTTCTCAACCTTGACAATTTTAAGGCATGTGGACTTCAACTCCCAGAATTCCACAGCCAGCAATGCTGGCTGTGGAATTCTGGGACTTGAAGTCCACATGCCTTAAAATTGTCAAGGTTGAGAAACACTGCCTTAAATCAATCTGTCATAAAATTGTAAAACTACAGGGGTCAAGTGAAACATTGGATTTTAAAATGGCTTACTGGGATTTCCGTCTCACATTTATTGCACACAGCTCTTAAGTGCAGGACAAGGTTTTTCATGATATGTGCAAAAAATACATACTGGCAGTAAAGAGGGGCCTGCTTTAGATGCTGCAACCTAAGCCAAATGTAGAAAAAGCCTTTTGGGGTTACATTGTTGGCCTACAGCAAATATAGTTAATGCAAAATAGAAGAGGAAAAGCCAAATTCTATCTTCTGTAATGTGTATTGCAACTATAAAGCATTGGGATCTGCTGCTCTATCACACTGGTTATGGGTAGATCAGTCGCATGATTTCCCCTCCCCCCCTCCTTGTAATTACAATTCCATTTACAAAAAAACAGGGAGAAATCAAAATAATTTATTTGAGATGATCCACAAGCCTGCCATGTATGTGAGCAGGTTGATAAAGAAGGAATGCTGGGGTGACATTCATGTCTCAAAGATCCTTTGTGTAGGAGAGCTAAAGGATTTCAATTATGCAGTGTCTACTCCAAAATAAATTCCCTTTTGAGTTAAATGAAGTTCACTTGAGTGGTTTAAAACTGCAAATTCAAGGCCAGGTGGGATAATAGAAGTCATTTTAGCATGTATGAGAAGTGCAAAAGAATAAGGCAAAGTGTTTGCAAAAATAAAGAAAAAGGCACATCCCAAGAAAAAGAGGAACACAACTGATTTTTTCCCTTTTTTTGCGTAAATATGCAGTGTGGGTCATGATAGACAGACAGACAGACAGAGGCAGGCAGGCAGATTATTGGGGAATATATTTATCCTTATTGTTGAGGGAAGACATTTTGCCTGTCGCTGGAAACAAGACTCAGCTGGCCATTTATTCAACTTCTAAGTGGAATAGAAAAGCAGAAGCATCAGGTCCTTCATTTTATGATGAAAAATGTTTTACCCTCCAAATAAGGACCATAAGGCTGTGATCCTCTGTGCTGCTCTGTGCAATAAAGTTGTTTCTATATGGGAACATTTTGGTATTATTGAAATCCTCCTACAATTAGCTGAAAATGAAACTGAATAGTGATCCTTAGCCCATTCATTACAGCATTGTATTATTCAGCAATGTATTTTTCACTCACCCAGATCCTCCTGTCATGTCTAAGAAGTCAGTTTCAATCCATAAATGCCTCTTTCAAAGTTTGCAGTCAGATTATTCATGGCTTCCTGACGATCCAGGGCTGGAACTTAGTGATTAATTGCCTTTTAAATAGCATCTCTTTAATTTTCCCTCATTACCAATTTCTGGCTGGCTAATTGTGGCTTTTCCTCCATTGCTCATTACCGTTGTTCATTTTTGATATAGCAAAATAGTACTAACTTTCATAGGACTTCATGACATTGTATTAATTGTTCTTAAATGAGCGTTTTAGGCACAGCACATTAGGGGTGGGAATAAACATAAATCTTCAGCATCAGTGAGAAGTACTAGGTAAAAAGGGTGCTTGATTGCAAGATGATTGCTTGACACTATTTGAGTATAAGAGGATCTTCCCTCTGTTTTGAAAACAAAGTCCGAGTCTGAATTACCATATGACAGTCTGGCATTTTGAAATTCCAGAATTTTAGTATTTAAAAAATTGATAAAAATGAAAATCTGCATATGCAAACATCTGCAAATAGTTTAATTACTTGTTTCCAAAACCATGCCTGGATAGTATTTTCAGGTGGTAGAAATCTCCAGTAAGGAAATGGTCAAGAACAGATAAATTAGAATTTAAACAGGTGTTGATGGGATGCTCATCATCTGGCTTCTCCAAGATACCATTGTAATCATCCGTGCCAGAGAGTCTCAAATTATGCAACACAGTGATGCTTTAATATGACTATGTTTGACATCCTCCCAAAAAAGAAACTTAACAGGAAATAAGCTACTGTGATTGGTAGACGGCTTTGATGGACAGTTAGATTCTGGGGCTTAGCCATTAGTTTGTCTTGGCTACAGCTTATACAAGCAAGCTAGGAAGATTTTGGCAATGTTACCACTTTGCTACGTTTTGCTACTTCATTAGGTTTTCAAAAATCGTGCCCCCCCTTCCTCTAAAGTTGCTGTTATCCCCCAATGTTTGCAAACCCCTGACCTATGCACATTAAAAAATTAGCCTTGTTTTCAAAAATGCCTAATTGTGCAAAGGATTCCATTCTTCCTTCCTGTTTCTATGCAATGACATACTCGGAAGAAAACCCCACAATTCCCAGAGAGATGCACACTTGTTTGGACTAAGATTTGTGAATTAACCTCCTTCAAAGGAGCTGGCCTTCTTTCTATGGGGCGGTATCCCCGGTTCCTTCTCTAGGGAAGGACCCATTGTCTTCTTCTGGGATGACCATTTTCCACTGTTTTTGGAAGGTTATGCCGGTAATCCTCGATTTACGGCGGTTCACTTAGTGACCATTGAAAATTACAATGGCACTGAAAAAAGTGACATGACCATTTTTCACGCTTGCAGCACCCCCACGGTCACGTGATTTACATTTGGAAGCTTGACAACTGACTCGCATTTATGACCATTGCAGTGTCCTGGGGGGGGGGCTCATGGGATCCCCTTCTGCGACCTTCTGACAAATAAAGTCAATGGGGAAGCCAGTTTCACTTAACAACCACATTACAAACATAAACAACTGCAGCGATTCGCTTTAACAAACGAGGCAAGAAAAATCGTAAAACGGGGCAAGGCTCACTTAACCAATTTTCTCCCTTAGCGGCATAAATTTTGGACTCGGTTGTGGTCGTAAGTCGAGAACTACCTGTAGACGTTTCCACATGTTCCCATTTCAAGAAACCCCCCAAAAGATAAACCACTTCCAGGAACCTAAAAATTCAGTGGCTTTGGTATTGATTGATTGCGGGGGGGGGGGAATCGAGAGTCCACAGTTGGATCATACTGTACTTTACCAACTAACAAGTCATAGAGGGTCGCGCTTACTTTGGAGATCGCCGGAGCTCTTCCTCGGTCACTTGCCCAACGGAAGGAATTTTTTTCCCTGCTCATACTGGAGGGGGAAGCACATGAAGCAACTAATGTGACCCTTTGATCTAAACCATGCGCCGTAACGTCACGCTAACGACAGCGCGATCCTCCCACGGCGGCCTCGCCAACCTGCCTCGGGGCAGCTCGGAAATGGGGAACCTTTTTCCACTCGCTGCGACCCGCGGATTCTTGCCGCGGAGCGGGGAAAAGCTTACGGCACCGGAGGAGGGGAGCCGCTGCGTGCGTCGGGCGTGTATTTTGGGCTCGGAGGCGTCTATTTTTAGCCCCATTGATGGCTGGGATTCCGACGACGTCAATCGGGTCTGGGCTTGACGTCACGGAGACTCCTTCCTGGCCGGGACTGAAGGGCGGAGTTTGCAGAAAATAAAGCCGCGGGCGGGTGGGGAGAGCAGCCGGGCTGAGCGCCTTGCGGGGGATTGTTGTTCTTCGGCGCGGAAGTGGGCGAGCAGGACGACCGACTGGCTGGACCGGCTCACCATGCCTGGGGAGGTCGGGGCCCCGGAGCCCGCTTCCGGGCCGCTTTCCCCGGCGAGGGCGCCGAGAGCCGAAGCTGCGGGAACGGCGATGGAGAAGCGCGTGCAGCAGGTGAGCAAGGGCGCGCGCCCGGGCGATGGCCCACCGCCTCAAGCCCTCCCGGCGCGGTCAGCCGCTTAAACCCCGCCAGCCAGCCGTCTGTCACAGCTCATCCGGATTTCCTCCGCCTTAAAAAAAAAAAAAAAAAAACTTCGGGGCGCGGGAACTTAGCTTGGTGAAGTTTGCACCTCGCCCTCGAGGGAAGGTTTTTAAAATGCAAAGGGTGGTTTTGGTTTTTTGTTTTTTTTTTTTTGACGAGAAGCAAGCAGGGAGCGGCCTCGTCTCTCCCCGTTCTTAGATCCCGGACGCTCCTGGGTGGGTTGGCGTGGATGACAATTGCCCTGGAGCTGAGGAATTCTTGCAAGGACTGGACTGCTTTTAGGGCTGCTCAAAAGTGCTTTTTTTCCAAAAGGCAACTGGACTGCGTTTCCCCCTCCCCATTTTGAGAAAGAAGAACAAAACGTTTCGTTTCTCGTCCCAAAAACTTCATCGGTTGCGATGGCGGGGGAGGGGGGAAAGGGGGACAGAGGCGGGGAGGACCAGGCACTAAACAGTTGAGGTTGAGTTGTGGTCCCCTTGGTGCTCTCTATGGGGGTTGCTCTTTTTGTCTTCAGGGTGAAATTGGTTGTGGAATTTTCTTGACACTTTACAGTTGCGTTGTAGACTGGAGAAAGGTGGTGTCTTATCCCTCCGCCTCTGTTGCGAGAGGGGTGCTCAGTGTTAACATAAATGGCCTCTTTTACACCTCTTTCAAACCAATGATCCTCTCGATCCAAAATGTGTCCAGTTGCCTTTTGAAAAAAGCACTTTTGATCTCATCATGATTTGATACCATGGTCATTTGAATCTGTCACAGCATTGCATTCGTTTCAGCATTGATTAAACACTTGTTTGAATATGATTAAAAGAATAGATAAATTATGGAATATAAAGGGGCCCTATGGTAAGAGGGACAAGATATACAAATGGTATAGGATTTTTTTTATAATATAAGAGATGTAAAAATATTGGGATGGTGTATCTGAATGAAAAGTTTGGATATTTAAAGGTAATTAACTTTAAGAAAATTATGACTGATAAGAATGGTTTGAATACAGAGGGGAAATTAAGCTTAAATAGGAATCTTGAAAACAGGACATATAGTGACTTAACAAGATGACTTTTATAAATACAATTGAAACATATGCTGATCAGAATAGATGTTATATGCTGATGTTACTGTTCTTTGTACAAACACAAGGAAAATGTTTATATCCAACTTTGTATGTATCGAAAATATCAAGAACTATATTTGTTTAATGTTGACAAGAGGAGAACACTACTGGAAGAAGAGAAGATCAAAGCAACATATTAATATATTGATTATGGAACTATAGAAATTATTATTGATTGTTTTTTAAATATATGAACCCAGACAACACGCTAAAGATTATTATTGTAAAAAGCAATAAAATATATTTTTTAAAAAAGCACTTTTGAGACAACTACAGGCAGTCCTTGACGTACGACCACTTGAGCTCAAAATTTCTGTTGCTAAGTGAGAAATCGGTTAAGTGAGTCTTGCTCCATTTTACGAGACCTTCCTTGCCACGGTTGTTAAGTGAATCACTGCAGTTGATAAGTTAGTAACTTATTAACTTATTGTAAAGTGAATCTGGCTTCCCCATTGACCTTGCTTGTCAGAAGGTTGCAAAAGGGGATCACGTGACCTTGGGAACCAGTTGCCAAGCATCTGAACTTTGATCACGTGACTTTGGGGATGCTTCAAAGACCGTAACTGTGAAAAATGGTCATAACTCACTTTTTTCAGTGCTGTTATAACTTTGAACGGTCACTAAATGAACTGTTGTAAGTCAAGGACCACCTGGATGACGGAGAATCTCCACAGACATTTTATGGGTGCATTTATTATTTTTGGGAATTGTGAGGAAAACATCTGCTGGAGTTTCTGCACCTTAATACTTAGAAGGGCACCTGGCTGGATCTTTACAGATCATCTTTGTTCTTTGGGGTTATTAGGGGTTAGAACAACATTCACCAATGCAGTGCCTACCTGCCCGGTTGCGGCATTAGGATTTGGAAGCTTTGGTGTCACTGCATCCCTGGGACTTGATAAGATAATATGTTCTGGCTGAATGCTTTCATTGAATGATGCACGTGGAAGCCCATGGGTTGTGGTCTAATTTCTAAAAAAAATGCTCCGCTACAGACTTCAAGTGTCCATTTCCTTTTCCTTTGAAGTCTGCAGCACCCGGACTTCATCTGATCTTGGAAGAAGATTGCTCAAAAATTATTCTGCTGTTCAGAAAGGGGGAGGTTTCATTTCTCCCCTTTCCTAGAAATCAGTTTCTTGGGATTAAATATGGTTGGGCATCTTTTAAGCACCCAACATATCTTGGGTTGAGTTCATACAGAGAGACTTGTAAGCCTCTGTTGGGGGCTACTTGTATGAACCGAGTTAACTAGTAAATTGATTTATTTGGTCCTTGGGGTGTGTCCCTCAATCAAATTCTTGGTTTATACATCATGGACTTATTACAGAAGCACACTTTGTGTTAGACCATCGAGAATCAGGTTGTGATACATTCTAAATACTTCAGAGAACCATGTGCTTGGTGAGGGCAGTAAAGTAAAACACTTCCTTAAAATAGCTTTACTGCCCTCCTTGCCCTCTGTTTGGATGTAAAGCTAGTTTTGTTCCATGGAATTCACTCCTTGATTAAACCAATTAATTGGCTATTAAATTAAGAATATTTACTTGGAAGGAAGTCCTGCTGAATTCAGTTGGACAGAGTCCACATGTGTGGGCTTAGGCTTGTAATTTTTAAATGTCACTGATGTGTGTGGGAGTGTGTGTGTGTATGTGTGGTGCTGGGGGGGGGGAGAGTGTAGTTGATTGACAAGCTAGATATGTTTCTAGTGTGCAACCTGTTTCTCTTGCTGGAATAGCAGTTCCGATTGCCACGTGGCTCTGGTTGATGATCTTGGCAATGCTTCAAAAGGCCAGAATCCCTTTTTATGTAATTGTTCTGACCACTACAGGTTTTTTTTTTTTTTTACACCATGCCATCCATCTAGTGAACAGTATGCTTGAGATGTCAGTCAGGCTGGGTGTGTTAAATGTTCCTGCAGTCATCCGAGGTAAGCTTAATGTGAGCCTCCTCTTTTGGTGTGATTATATGCTTTTCTTTAATGATTAAAACATGGAATCCATAATCCTTGTGGCTATGAAACCAAGCCTGAAGCTATGTGAGCACTGTCTAGTGCAGTGGTTCTCAACCTGTGGGTCGGGACCCCATTTGGGGTCGAATGACCATTTCACGGGGGTCGCCAAACCACGCTGTCCGCCATTTTTTTCCTTTTCCCTAGCTGTCCTACTCCCTCTTATTGGTGGCCACACCCACTTGGGGGTCACCACAACATGGGGAACTGTATTATGGGGTCACGGCATTAGAAAGGTTGAGAACCACTGGTCTAGTGAAATAGTTAATGCTGAAATTAGAACTGAGCAGTAAGCTTTTAGTATCTTACCAGGGCTACTTCCTGGGAAATGCTTTTTGAACGTATTAGTTCTACAATATTAAGCATTTTAGTTGTTTTGTATGCACTGACTGAAGTAACAAATAATCCAAATTCTGTCGCTCTGCTTTATTAATCTTGCTGGAAATTATTAAGTGAGAATTATGCATTCAGAATATAGACTTCAGAATGCTAAGAAATTATGGGGTTGTAGATGGATCCTTAAACTAAATTCACAGATTTCTCTAGCCATTTTTTTTCTTCCGTTCAATCATGTCCGATTCTCAGATACTGACTGAACAAGTCCATGCAGTTTTCTGGGCAAGGTTTTTCAAAAGTGGTTTGTCATTTCCTTCTTCCTAGGGCTGAGAGAAAGTGACTGGCCCAGGTTAATGCAGCTAGCTCTAGTCATAGTTTGTTTTAATTGTTTGTTGATTGTCATAGGTCTGACTCATACATAGTGCTAAGCCATAAACTATTATTTACATTATAACTTAGCACAAAGGATAAAGAATAAGGTAGATTACAGCTGCTGCTTTTTTTTTTTACCCTTGCCATTTGAGATTAAATGTTTGGATGTGTTTATCAGTAGATATCTTTTTTTTTTTTAGATATATGATAACTATTTCACGGAAGGCAAGGATGGAAGGGTAGGGAGGTGTGCTTTTCTTGAAGGTCTCTTCAAGCCATGGATATTTATTTTCAACAGCAGAAATGTACCCGTATGCACCCATCCTACTTTGCTCTAATTAACAACAAAAATCATTAAGAGGAGCCTGCTTGTTAAATGGTATGTAGAGATTTGGATGTCATAACTGATCAGATCCCCTCAGTGCCAATTTCCATAAGCTGATTTCTGATCCTTATAGGATTGTATCTACACTCCAGGCTTTAAAAACAGACTAACATAAGTGATAGACAAGTGGTGCTTTTCCAGTCCAAAACCACATGTAAATCACTTAGTTTACTGGAGCGCTCCCTTCACTGCTGGCAAAAAGAACCTCTTTTTATTAGGGAATTAAAATAGTGAAAACATGGCCAGCATTTCTTTTGGTGCATTGAAATGTATTTTTACCTTATTTTATTTTAGAATTGGCCATACTTGGCCTCTGGGATTCCCTTCTCAGCATTAACTGGAAATATGTGGTTTTAGAGGC